ATATAACTACTACCAGTAAATTTCAAATTCACCATTCTTAGGTATATATATTCAAATGTCACTCAGAATAAAGGTCCTGAACTTAAAAATTGTTTTGTTTTTTTTTAACTCTAAGCCAACTTGGAAGTTTTTTCTGTTTGCTGAAAATCTACAAAATCAATTTATGTAAGTTTTGAAAGTACTGTTTGGAGTATTTCATTACTAAATTTATTACTGAATATACTCAGAAAGTTGCTGCTTAAAAAAACGGAATWCAATACTCCCTTCATGGGTTTGTTGTTTTATACCTGTAATGATCAATTAACCTTATGTTAAAGCTATTTATTAAATTTCAACATCCCTAATATGTATTTAATTGTTTGCTCTTCCTGCACTGAATTCTGGCGATGTGAGACGTCATTACACAAAATCTTTGTTAACGCAACCTGTCTGCCTTCTTCTTCACCGCGAGTCAGACAGACACGTTGCAGCGCCGTTTCTGCCCCCTGTTGGACAAAACTAAAGCTGAACGCGTCCAAGCAGAGAAAACACGACTTTTGTACTAATGGAAGCATTCTGCTCAACATAGTGCTTTATTATATTATTAATATAGAATTATTTGTATAAATAGACATATAGTCAATATATTTTTCTATCCCTGTATTCTTATAGAGTGACTGATTCTGGTGTTCAGAGATGATAGGTATTTACATAACTATAAAATATAACTACTACCAGTAAATTTCGAATTCACCATTCTTAGGTAATTATTATTATATTATAAATAATTTAAAAAATTGACATATTTTAGTTTTTTTTATCTTTTTTATTGTCTATGTATTTGTTAACAGAAAATAATTCAAAAATTCAAACACGTATGTGCTTATGTGTTCAATGACACACAATTGTAATACTACGGGAATCATAAATCTTTCAGAAACATGATTAAATGTGTAGGAACTTTGGTTTATTCAGTTTTTAGCAGAGTATGAAGTGGGTGGGAGGTGTTATTAAGAATGGAGTTTTCTGCCACCTGCTCTTTTTACATATCCTGTTACTGGTTGTTGCAAATCACACCAAAGAACAGGACACTCGCCACACAGTCTGGTAAAAGGAGCTCAGTAATGGTATGCAAATGTTAAATGATCTAGCACGTAGAGATGTCTATGCTAGGAGGGAGGAAAATGTGACTTTTCAAGTGACTTTTCCACAACCCARGTGTGTCTGCATATATTTGAGCAGTTAGTTATGTAAAGTGTAAAATCTGAAGGAAAAAAATAGTAAAGCTGCTAAATAAACATCTGCAAAAATGTTCTGTTACTGCTGTTAAAAGTAATTATAGATAGCAAAATAAATAAACACTACCAATAACAAGTGTTTATGGCAAGTATTTTGTTTAAAACAATATGATTTATTGTGTTAATAAATGAAACTTAATCATTATAGACATAGTATAAAAAACTATTTCAGGTATATCCTTCCAGTTCAACTGACATGCTGTACAAACAAGATGTTTCAAATTTTAAAACTGAAAAAAAAGAAATACGTTATTGCCCATAAAGACTGATCTACCTACACAGCATGAAGAACTTTATATTTTGAACGTGCACATTGTCAGGATTGTTTCAGGTTTGATTTTACATGAAAAATATAAAAGTCAAATAAAAAAAAAGTACTGTGCAAATCCAAAGTAAAGCAATACAGAGTTAATAAGTTAATACAGCATTATTTCAATAAAACAGTCTTTTGTTCTAACACCTTTGGTCTTAAACATCATCAGTTTGTTGAACATTAGTCTGGTGTGTCAGTAAAGAAGATCCTGTTAAAAAAAARGAACACAAAAGTGTTAGCATACAAAAACGACAAAATCCTACAATTTAGCTGCTGGTAAAATGAGCAGAAGAAGTCCTAAAGCCATCATAAATCACTTTTACTTCATCTGAGTCCTGATGGTAGGCTGTACCGTTGCTGCTGATGGCACTTTCAAGATCAGCTGTGAGGCTGTTGTCTTCCTGGAGGCGTAGGTTCGAGAAGCTATACACCGATGTCCTAAAACACACACAGAGGTCAGCTTTCTGTCATTTATTTAAGGTTTGAATTCTACAGGAGGATGTTTCTCTCTAAATCACCTGGTCCTGTTAACCACTCTCCTCACTGTAAGAACTGCAGAGATGATGGCCACCAGGATGATGAGTGATGCTCCTGCACACACAAGGATCAAGACCAACCTTTCTGTCTGCAAAACACACAGAATCGGATTTATTCTGGTAACATGGCAGGACACCGAACTAAGCCTTTTTTGTGTTTATTCAGTCATCAAGCATCCTTTCCCCCCCAAATGCTGAGTGCGAACTGGTTTATACTAGTTCAACAAATACTAGTAACACTTTTTTGTCAACAGGAGGCACTGTAGTCTAACTCAATGTTTCCCAAAGTTGGGGTTGGGACCCAAAGTGGGGTCCCGAAATTTCAAGGTGGGATCCTGAAAAGATTTTCTGAATTAATTACATTTTTGCCTTAGTTTTTACAGAGTGATGTTAGTATATTTAAAATGGATAAATGTAGYATAAAATATAGTTACTATGGCCATGTTTAGTTGACCTGATACAAATGTTTATCATCCAAAAATAGCTGGGGGCACAGGTCTCTGCTACTGTTATTTTGTGGGTCAAAAGCTGAAAAGTTTGGGAACGACTGGTCTAACTATTTGAAGCAGAAGTCATTATGGGCAACCATTTTGCTGCACTAACTAGTTGGCTATTTAACTCCCTAGTTGACCTCAGTGTCATACAAGTTAACTAGCAGGTATTAGGTAACTTTATTTGTCAATACTACTACTAGTCAACAAGTCCAAACTAAAAGTTTGAGTAATCAACTGGTAAAATCTAAAAGGTCCACTAGTCGATTAATTGACAAACTTTTGTTCTTTCTAGTTAACTAGTGTACCAAAA